TCTTGCACGTTTTCCTTTTAAGCAAAATGTAAAGCAACAAGCACAGTTCAACAGGGCAGAAGGCCAGGTCCTGCTGGGTGATCAGTTATCCAAATGCAAGAACCAGATTATTGCTGAGTTTCACAGCAAACAAGTTTTCAAATCCTGAGAGAGTTTTGCACTTGTCTTGAGCTGGCTTTGAACCTCAAGCTGGGTGCTGAGTCAGATTACTGACAGAAAGCACCAAGACCAAAGCCAGCCAGATAGACGGTATACCTGTGGATGAAACTGTAGTCCTTAAAATTCAATTTTTACATGATCGTGGACAACTGTGGACCAGTATATCTATTTTCACTTAAATTTAGAGATTTATGAAAACAGAAAGCAATGAGAGAAATAAAACCACTGGAAAAATTGCAATCTGGAGTTTTTATATAAACAATAATTGACTTAGTGAAAGTTATTTCTCTCTTTTGTCACCACCATAAGACAATCTGCATGGGACACTGCAGCAGATAGTCAGCTTGGTTGTAATATGCCTTCCCCCGCCTCCCAAGGCAGCCCATACCTCTAGGCAGGGAGGTAGTCTACAGCTCACCTAGCCCACCCCATCCCTCTTAATAAAGCAATTTAACGTGGCCACAGCATCGACCAGCATAGCACGGGTTTAGTCTCTTGCCAAGTTATGGGGCAACAAGACAAGGCAAAATCCAGCTGCCATGTGCAAAGGGGCTGCTGGTGTCAGAGCAGCAGTGGGTAGCAGCACGGGCACGGGTGCCTTCGCACCTCTGCGCTCAGGCTAGCCGTGCGGAGCCCGTCCCCAGGTTCAGTGTCCCAGTGCAGGGCAGGGCTTTGGCCTGCCAGTGCCTCCGTGGCGAGATACAGCTCCATGCGATGGCCACGGTGGGTTATTTGCTTGGCTCAAGTTGCCGGCAGAGAGGAGGAGCGGAGCAGTATAAAAAGCAATAAAACTCTCTTCCTGAGCAGCAAAGTCCTACTGCAATACTGTGCCAGAGGGCTTCCATCCAGTAGTTTTGGACATATTTTACTGAGTCAAGGCCACATTTATCTAGCAGCAATTCAAAGCAAGGAGATCTGCTGCAGAGGAGATCAGGGTTTCATTCACCTGCGCTTCAAAATAAAAGTGCTTGCATGAACTCCTGGCATCAGAAAGCCACCATAGACTGCAGCCGAGGAGGCAAAGCTGAGCTGCAGACACGATGGAGATGGCCACACACCACTTACAGCCAGCTTTGCCAGCCTGAAACATCCCAGGTCTGTAAAAGCTAGAAAATTTCTTTTTATGTGAAGTAAAACAAGAATAAGCTTAACTCCTCACAAATAGCTGCAGAGTCCCAGGCAGGAGGGTGCCAGGCCCAGAGGAGCAGAGCAGGAGCCCAGGTGCAGCACCCGCTTCCTTTGCGTGACACCCCAACCCTGGCACAAGGAGGACACCCAGCAGCGGCACTGCCTTTGCGCCCCGACACACAGGTCCTCAGCTCTGAGGGCTTCATACAAAGCCCAAAGCAGACTCACGTGGGCTATATTGAAATTACAGCCTTCAGTCCTGAGCTCTAGAGCACTGTTAGTAAAAGAGGGCCTCTTTGCACTGTGAGTTTCCTAAAATATGAGCTATTCCCCATCGGGAATAAATCAGGATGTGATATTGCACGGCAACAAACATCTGAACAAGCCAAATCTTGAAAAACGGCTACATAGGTTTTCGGAGAAGTCACAGTATAAAATACATCAGGTTTAGGAGCCAAGCTGGCCAGATGCCACGACAATATCTATACGTTAACCGAAGGTAAGGCAGGTCTGAACACTACTGAAGAATCTCACCCTCTAAACAAGTTTTCATTTCTGAATCTCTGACCCGCTGTTTATGAAAAGGGAAAGTACAGTGATGAGGTAAATGTGTTTACGAACGCATTACTGTTACTGTTCTACTCTTAACAGTTTACGGTAACGACTTTACTACCCCTATTTGTTGCTAATCAAGATCAGCACCTGAGGAGGAATGAATCATTTCTTCCGCAAAGTTTGTGTGAAGGCAAGACATTTCCCCCCCCCAATCAGGTGCAAACCACCCGCTCTGGTAGACTTGTGTGCAACCTGTTACTGGTTTGAAGTATACTTTTTCCAGGAGCTTGCTCTTGCTCCTTACAACTGCACGGGTTTTACCTGGCACTTCCGCAAGGCAGCAAATGCAGCCGGAGCTGTAACAGGGCAGCGGACTCGAAGCATTAAGCAAGAGACCTGAACCTGTATGTGAAGAGTTTCCTCAAAAGCAGTACAAGGTGCTTTGCCAGCTAATCTTTCCAGCCTGCAGCTACAGAGCAAAGCGTGGCTGTAGACCTGTGTCAAAGGTACATTTGTTAACACATTTCCCCCGGAGTGCTAATTAACATTTAGATCAAGTACTCGGAGAGCGAAAAAGCTTCAATGCAAACACACTGCAGGGAAATGCAAGGAGTAAATTCTCTCTCCCTCAGACACAGTGTACTGTTTGCCCTTCAGGAGCTGGTGAAAATCCAGTTTGTTTTGTAATCTTCTGTTCTCTAAAATCAGATATTTCTACAAGTTAATAACCAACCAGTTTTTTTTTTTTAAATTAAAAACCTCCGTTTAAAATTCTATGAAAGCGAGGCCCTGACGGCACTAGTGCAAGCCAGCCCGTGCGTGTCTCCTTGCTGAGTCACGGCACAAGCACTGATTACAGCAAATGACAATATTTTATGATTTTACAATAAACATAAACAAGAGACCATCAACAGACTTTCACTTGCATCTTGAAATAAGATTGAACCCTCTTAAGCTAAAACAAAAAACAAAAACAAAAAACAACAAAAACCACACACACCACACTCGGATAAGGAACACAAACACAAATATTTGTAGCTAAATCTTCAATTGCCACATTTTGGGCTGCAGACAAAGAGGCTGTAATGAGTAACATTTGTACCCACAATAAGATGCAGACAAAGGTATTTGCAAACACAAATTTGGGCTTGAATAGGTGAAGGGACTTACCGAAAGGCTGGCTAATGAACTAGCAAGATCAATAATTATTGAGAAAAATATGCTATCACATTGATGTAGAATTAAAACTGAAGGATAACTTAAATAAGGCAGGGAAAACTTCTGTTTTCCCCAGGATAAACTGCTTTTTTCTATTTTTTTTTTTAAAGCAAAAAATATAAAATTCCTGATTTACAGAAGGAAAAAAAATCATAGTGTATAAGCCATGAAACAGGAGTATGTAAAATTTTATCTGCTCTCTGAACTTTTAGGACATTAGAGAGATCATATTATTATTAAATATATTTATTATTAAATATATTCTGTCTTGCCTCAACCATGCATCCTGTCCAGACCCCCAAGAACTCAAATTTGCATTCCTAAAAAGTTGTTGATATTCTCGAAACAGTGTACACTTGCAGATGTGGACAAGTTTGACTGAGTAAGGAGTTCAGCTGCACATGGCCTCTAGAATAACAATTTCTAACTCTTCACCTCTACAGAAATCAGGATCTCAGATGAAGAATCTATACCATAAACATAGACTTTCTTTTCCTTGCAAAACAGACTTCTGTGATTTTATTTATCATTGCCCACCCACCAAATACTTGGCATGAACAATTTTCACCCTTAGGGTTTACAAACTGCTTTTGCTGTTTCGTCACTATTGGGGTTTTTTTGGAGTGTTGCTTGCTTCTCCCCTTCAACTGCACATCCAACTTCATAAACAAAAAAGTAAAAATGACAAACAGTAAACGCAACAGCAAAGCATATTTTTGTTGGAGGGACTCAACCAAAGAATGCTAGGCGCGACTGAGAAGAGCCGTGGCAGAGAGACAAAATGACCGACATCCAGCAGATGCTCCACCAGGAGAAGGTGGTCATGTTTCTTTTGCTTGACCCACTCTTGAAATCAAACATATTCTCATTAGATATGCACATTTCTGTATTCAGTAGGAATATTTTGTAAAGGAGTAGCAAACACTCAGATACTTTTCAGGTTCCCAGTTTCCTAAGCTCACTCTGTCAATTCCCAGTTATTCCTATCAGAAAAAGGCAGTTTGGGGCTAAAATCTAAACTGGCACATTCCTGACATTATCTCCCAGAGACTCTAACGCATGAACGTCTGGACTGAAATCCTGACCTCAGCAGAAGCAATAGCAAAACTTCCACTAATCCCTCCAAAATTTAAAAAGACAAGAAAAAACAGTATTTTATGGGAAACCAAAATGGAGACAGAATGCCCAGCTCCCAAAACACTAATCTTTTAATCTCATGCAACAGGATGAGATTAATATAAACATGCTAACCTGTCCAAATTGGAAATCTGACAAATTTCAAGCACGGGAAACAACAAGATTTTTTTTCAGACAGGATGTCAGAGTTGCCCCTGTGGTTATATGTGAGCTAAGGACAATGTTGTTACATGAGATCAAATTACAAACACAAGCAAACAGAAAACAATCTCCGAACGTCACTGTTCAAGGGTTGACAAGAAGCACAGCTGGTCCCTTAGGAAGGTTAAATGTTCTCTGGCGAGCTTGGGGGGAATATTAGAAGTTTGCTGCTGGACATCAAGTTCCATGCAGCTGAATTGTCAATTTGTTTGCCTGAGTTAATGCTTATCTTACCTTATGCTTGCTGTGGTCTTACTAAACGTTTCTAACCTACAAATCTTGAAGCGGTGGCTTTGCTACAATTGTAAGAATTTTCTGGAGTTTCCAGACACCTAGGAAAACTATTTTGGTAGTTTCCACAGCACAGAAACCTGTAGTTACTCAGATATTTGAGACTTCCAGTGGGGTGGATGACAGTTGCTCAACCACAAACATTACCATCTCATTTCTATTTCTAATGTTTAGTACACCCTTGCTGTAAGGAATTTCTGAAGTTGTTTACAAAGGCTGATGCAGAGGTTGTGCAGTCTGGTCCAAGGGCAATGGTTTACTGAAGTCACTTGTAAACAGCAGAAAGAGATAATATTTTCTGTAAGGCTCACCTTGCACCAAGGACCATTAGAGACAGGGCTGCTTTCCAAAATATCTCCTCCTTCATTTTCTTCCATGTCTCCTTAGTTGAAAAACTTTGGTTTCCAATGAAAAACATTAAATCACCCTCCAGGCAAAACCAAACCAAACATCCAGGCTTTAGTATTCCAGTTTTCAAAAGCCCTGCAGTAGGTCACACACAAGCCTTTTATGGCTGCTTGTCTAATCCGAGATTTCAGATCCCACTTCCTTGCCGGGTTTCACAGGCTTGCCAAGAGGCACAGAGCTTGGCCTTTCTTTTAAGCCTTGACAGCTCCTGTCGTCAGGTATTTATCTCCCTCAGACCTTACTTGGAGATCCAGGTTTTCACATAACAAATGGCAAATGCCGTTTATCAGATTATGGCTTCCCAAGTACTGTACCAGGACAGACACTGAACCTCTGATCATCTCAGGAGAAACTTGACAACGGAGTGCAATAGCGTAGCCACACCTCTCTGCCGCGAGAGCTGGCCTAGACCATAAAATCAGAAGCAAGGTCACCCAGCAACCAGCCATTCCACGTCACTACAGCAATAAAGCCAACTTACATTCAACTTATTGCTTGGGTAGATAAATATTTTTATTAGATGAAAGAAATCGAGAGAAGATGGGGCGGGGGGATGACTATTCTTATCCAAGAGGCATTTATCTTGATCAACAATCAACACAAAGCTCTCAGCAGAGGTGCACAGGCCACCTACAAAAACCATAAAACTCTATCTGCAAATCCTACTGGGGTCCAAACCTTGAGCACAAAGCTGCAAGAGCAGCTCCGTGTGCTCCAGCATGTCACACACGCAAGCCTGCAGGTCCCACACACTGGAGAGCCCACACACTCCTGCGCAGGTGCCTGCAAGACTTAGATCTGCCACATAACCACCTTTAAAAGGTTCCATTTACAAAAGTCTATATAAAATAGGGAGGATTCATGAAATAACTCCCACCCTCCCACAGTCCACAAAAATCAGGCTATACCATATGACCACCTAAGGGAGTTTTGTCAAGCAAATAGATTATTTTTTCAGCAAGCAGAGCAATCACATACCTAAAGGAACGCTCTCAATTTAAAAAGCGACGTTTCTCTCCCAAGGTATCATACATGCTACAGAGCAGGGCCACAATAAGTATAAATAAAAGCAGTACCAAAAGATCAAACCTCTTTGCTCTGTTTACTCTGAGTATCAGGCAGTGCAATTGCAGATAGCTGGTGCCCTAAAATTTCGAAACTGACTGATCTCTGGCATCTATTTGAAGACACACATGACTTCATTTTCAGCACAGCCGCTTGGCACTCTCAGGAAAGGCCACTCATTAAGAACCCCCCAAAAGAGAGGGGTCTAGGGTCATCGGCCGCTTTGGAAAAGTAAAGCCCCTTTTTCCTTTCTATATGTGACCTACAGCAGTTTCTTTCTTGCTGAACAGTTCTTTATAAATACGTATGTGGCAGTAGATAACTTTTTTTTGGTAACTGTGTATAGAGATTAAAGCTGATTCTTTCAAAATATAAAATATTTTGATCAAACATTCATATTGGCAGCATCATTAAAGCTTAGAGGTACGGGGATCTGATTTTAGTCCCCTTTCTGCTACTGAAGCACAAAGTGCTCGAGTGATTTACTGAAGATCACATGCTAGATTATATACTCATCTTTTCATTAATCAAAGTTGATTTCATGAGCCACGTCTCAGTAGTTTAATTTAAAATTGTACTTTAAAGAGTTGGAGATTAAACTTTATAAAATGGTCAGTTAACTGAAAGTGTCTATCGAGGTAATGAAACGAACAGTAACAAGCCCTTAGACCCTGTGACTAATGTGTAACAGCGATCAAGATGTATGCACTATCAGTTATGTATTTACATCAAAGAAATAGTCAAAATCGACAAAAAATTGGCTGGAAGTATAAGGACAGAGATAAAGTCTTTATGGAGAGACAGCAAAGCAAAGGATAAGACTGAATTTGGAAGTCAGCAACCTCCTAGTCTGTTTTTATCCTTGAGCCTATGATTCCGAGAAGGAAAAGCAATAGCTCTGTACCTCGGTTTTCCTGCCTGTTCTGAGAGACTTGTGAGATAGCAGCACATGGCGCTGTTATCTCACAGGAATAGCTGGTTCTGCATTGAAGATATTCACTATCTCCATCAAACTTACTGGCTCTGTCTACTGGCAGGTGGATTTCCTACTGTATCAATCACCCACACAAGCACGAGCAAAGGAAAGCCACCTTCCCCACTAACCCCCTTCCCTCCCACCATGAGGTGTCAGAACAAATTTTCCCTGCTCTGCTCCACCCGATCCAGGAGAAAGAAAAGCAGGGGAAGCCCAAAGGTGTCCTGCCTGTCCCAGGCTCCCCAAGCCCTGCAACATGGTGCTGTGCCACCACCCAGTCCTGACCAGAGCCACTCCCTGGAGCAGGGGCTCCTCGCAGGGGACCAGTGCCATGGTAAGGCTGGGGAAAGCTCTCAGCTTTCCAGCTGCCCTATGCCACCTTCAAGCCTGTAGATGCGGGGGAGCTGTCTCCTGCTGTCTCAGCCTGCTTGAGCTGGAGGTCCAGGACCTGCGTCAGCCTAGTTACTGCCTTACGATAGCACTAAGTTGGCCTAGAAGCACTGGTAAAGCTAAGGAGAAGCTAAGGAGGTAATTCCAATACAAGTTCTTTTTAATAAGTAATTCAATTAATTTTAATTTAATAATTATTTGTGCCTATTTTGCAATAATTCAAGGCACACGTGAATTCAATATCCAAACCACCGGATGATGGGCTGAGTTATTTCATTCCCAGCTGGAAGATTCTGCTACACACAGTTTGCTGCTGCAAATATTCACCAGATTTTAAGCTCACTTTCTGTGGTTTCATATGCCCTTTTCAAAACCAAAGGTTTTTCACAGAAGCAGAAGCCGACAGCGCAGGCAAGCCAGCTCAGCCCGGCCTCCTGCGCAGCTGTCCCAACACTGCAGCCTGGGTTCAGGGCTCCCTGTCCAGCTGGGAGGGCAACATAGCCTGAGGCAGGGTGTCTGACGGGGACCCGGGGGGGGGAAGAGGGGAAAGTGGAGAAAGGGAGGGAAAAAAAAAAGTCCATCTTTGCACAGTGATTCACAGGGGCTGTTTATTACAGCAGCTCAGTGCTTCAAGGACTCTGTTTTCTGGCATTCCTTTGAATCTCTTGGGCCGAGATCTCTGATCACTGATTACCTGCTGAATTTTAAGAGAACAGGCAAGGGGTCTGCCCAAAATATCAAATTACTTCGCATTTTCTTGTTTTTTTTTTCTGGTTTCTCTTTGCAGGTCGCCCATTTTGTGACATACTAGCTGTGTCCGAGGTAAGTGATATTAGCCTTCCAAAGTTTACTTGCATTAAATAGCAAGAAAAATTGCCATATCTCATTAGCCATGTATCCTGTGCTTTGCTAGGAGTTCTCCTTTGGTGACGTCCCATGGCAATAATTTTCACAGTGTTTCAGCTTTGAATCAGCCATTTTCTAACTTAAAATAATGCAATAGAAGAAAACACTTTCCATACACAATCTAACATAAGACTTTCCTATGGTTGCTGTAGACAAGCAAACTCACAAGGTTTTCAGCCTGAACCTTTAGCACAAGCCAGACATCTGTTCCAAGTTGTGCCAGATCACAGGAAGGATAGCCCACAACTTGGTTTACTCCAGACTAATTTAGGAAATTAGGACTCTCCCCATGGATTAGTCACTAACTTCTTGGGCAATGACAGGCCAGACACATTTGTCTCTAGCTCGATGGTTTTCCCCCATAAAGCAAGGGTAACAGCTCTTCCCCATGTCAGAAGGCATCTGGGGCTAGATCCTTTAGCCCCAATACCAAGTCATAAACTACACCTTTCAACACCCTCTGCAGGTCCTGATTTCCAAAGATTGTCAGGGTATTCCAGGAAAGAAAAGAAAAAGAAAAGTACAGATGGGTGTAAAGATGGCTTTGAAGTACAGCCCAGGACTAGAGATCAGGAAGTGAGGGCTGTAATTGCAGCTGGGTATCAGTTTCCTTTTTTTCCTTTTTTCCTTTTTTGCGATAAGCCCACGGTATGGGGCAGTTCTCACTCCCTCGGAAAACAGGCAGGAATAACGCTCACCTCAGCAGGCAAACAGAAAGAGATGTTAAATGGAAGGAGCTGGAAAGGCAAAACTCCTCTGCATTTCTAATGCAGAAGCAAAGAGAAAGCCTTCCAAGTGTGCCTGAGATGACTTATTTCTTCTAGACGAGCAGGGAAGACCACAAACTACGTCTAGTTTTGTTTCCTAAGGAAATGGCACTGTCTTATGCATGGGGGCTGCCTGGGTCCCTTAGGAAAAGGGTCAGTTTCTAGCAGACCTGACAGAGAAGAGGCATCTGGTTCACGAGGAGGGGAATTCCAGCAGAGGGAGGAGATCCCGCCAGCAGTCCGCGGCGGGTTCAGCACACGGCTCCTGAGCCGCCAGAGGAAGCCCTATGCGGGAAGGCAGAGCAGAGGGAAGGTGGCCCTGCCACAGAGACAGTGCATTTAGCTCCAGGCTGGGACAGATTTGCTTCAAGCTGCCCAATAGGCGGCAGTGCCGGACTGTAGGGACCCTGGCTATGCCTCCGCACGCAGGACACTCGTCCAAACACACAGCTGGCATAAGCATATAACTCAGACCTCAGGTCTTGCAGGCCTTTGGCCCTGGCCCTGATAAGACTTCTTGTTATGGAGGCTGCCCTGGCCTGTCTGTAACAAGCTGCTGCCAGAAGCAAACGTGTCAGAACAGGTTAATCGACATCCCACTGTAACTTTAACACTATTAGTCCACATTAAACAAAGGATTAAATTTTTTTTCCTTCCTGAGATAAGCTGCAAGGTAGTATCAGGGCTGCTGTGAGAAAACACAGTCTCTTGATAGAGTAAAATAAACCTGTTTGTTCCAGTTGGGAAAGGTTTGTGAGCTGGACTCAGGGGCAAAGTTATTACAGAAACTGCTGCATCTTGAAGACCATCTTGCAAAGGGTTTAGGTTTTGGTATTTGCGAGGCATACCTTGAGCATTTAGCCATTATAAATCTCTTCTTGTTTAGGAAAGAAATCTGATTTTGCATCATACCATGCTTATCTTTTAGCTAAAGTGGGGGCAGGATCTGAATATGCTGGTGTTTGCAGACAGCAGTGGTGCTGTACAGCCAGTCTCTTAGCTTCACAATGAAGAAAATGAGATACAATTGTGAAATAGTTGCCTAACAATTGATAAGGACAAGCACTGCAATCCTCTTCCCTGCCTCTTCTTGGACAGTGTCCCATTTAGCACACGTTGCTGGATATATAGAGAAGAAAATGGCACTGTGATTAAAGTACAAGACGCACAGTAGAAGACAGAGATTATTTACCTCCATCTGATATCCTCTTTCACCATGGCTAAGTAACTTAGGTCTTTGTAATTCAGTTTTTCCTTTTGTGACTATATTTACCATCCTTCTGACAGCCTTGGAGCTCTCTTGAGGAATGGAGCTTTGTAAATTGGGATAGGAGGAAGGAGCTGGAGAGATTTATATCTTTAAAACAAAGCCCCAGCAGGGGCATTGAAAGCAGTGCTGCAGGAGACTTTTAGCAGGCCTTTGCTCCATAGAAGAATAAGGTTTCTCCTTGCCTTTTTTCAAATTAAAGCGGCCATCCCCTTCCACTCTTCCTGGCAGGAATTCCCTATGGTGCCCCCAAACACCTTGCAATATGCAGTGTCAGTTCCCAACTCCAACCATCCCAAGAAAAGCCCAGCCCACCACAAGGCCAAAGAAATTTGATTCAGTCTGTCATGCCCTCGAAGTGTGGATACGTGTAAATCCTCAGCCTTCAAAATTCATGTCTTTCAGGAATGGCAAGCCCACGCACCCAGAGAAAGTCACTGTTGCCAGTATCATACAGAGGGATGCAACGACCACTTTTTCCCCATGACAGGAAAAGTCTATGGTAAACCGAATACTTTTATGTATTAAATGATAGATAAGTACCGACATCATAAGTTATCAAGTGACGATACTTTTAACTTAGTATTAGAAATTCTACAAGAACGTCATACTCAATGGCCATCACGTTGTTTGCTGGTCAACTGCAGAATAAGCTAACA